TTAAGACATACTCTCATTGACCTACGGTATGTCTAAAGGCAGGAATAGAAGAATAAACTACTGTATTCTTTTTTTTATAGGCTGGATACTATATAGTTTTATACGAACGCACTTTACAGCTACTCCCAGATTTTTAGATCAGTAAAACTGACCTGCAGAAGATACAGAAATAGATGAAATCTAATCCATTTTACAGCAATTTCCAAGTTCAGAGGGTACAGATAATGCACATGAAGTTGTGTCTAGGTTTCCATGTGCACAACTGAATATGTGGAAGAGCTGTGATAGGAGTGCCCTACTGCAATGCATCTGTTATAGGACAGGTCCAAGTCCACAGTACATTTACTGGTGTCTTGTGTGCTAAACTAGCTGTAATCATGGAAATTCAGAAAATCTAAACCTGCCTCTTACAATTGAGATCTTTTAAACTGGAGGTGAAGCATTTTTACCAGTAAGTTTTTGATAGAGGAGCCAGGCTTTATGCTGCTGTAGTGAACTTTTGCTAGATGCACAGGCCTTGCAAAGATGCAGAGGTAGGTAAGATGCTGAAATTTTTATAGGTTCAGAATTAGAAATCCAGGCCTTGAGCAAGAACTAGGGAAACATTCTCATGTGTTGAAAACACTTTTGTATAGGAGCTTTAAATAGGATCAAGTCCTTTTTTTCCCTGTTCTCTCCTTCCTCTTCCCTTTCTTGCCTCTTAAATTATAGTTTACCTCTGTTTGAAGTAACTTGTCCCAACCTGTTATCTCTTCTACCACCCTGGTGCTCTTAACTGTGTTCTCTGATTTCCATCAGCCTTACCTTATCTCATCCATGGCCCCAGTCATCCATCCTTTGGATATCTCTTTCCTACCATCACTCATGTCCACCCTTTCCTTCCTGTCCAGACACCTCTTTTATAAGTAGAGTGACCATATGTTCAGGTTTAGCCAGGATAGTCCTGGATTTCAGAGGCTGGTCCCGGCCTGCTGTTGAGAATTATAATAGGTGTCCTTGAAATGCAGGGGTTTTGGGATGCAGTGTAGCTGGGAGTTGGAGCAGTGTGGAGCACCAGCATGCCACCCCAGCCTCGCTGACTTGTGAGAGCAGGGAGGCAGGTGGAAAGTAGTGTCCTGGATGTCCTAGATTTCCTTACGGTCAGCCTGTTTATAACCATCACTCCTTTGTGGTCCTGTTTTGTTTCTTTACAACCATTTATCCATCTTTTACTGGACCTGCCTCTCTCCTCTGGAGCTTGAGATATTACTGGAGCTCAGGTGGGATCATCAAATAACTATTACCAAATGGATTGTAAGCATAGATCCAGTCCAGGTTTTAGCACACTAGCATGAAGACATTTGAGGCTTTCCCCACTGCCGAAGCTCAATACTGTCTTTCACTCTGGGGTTTTTTTTCCTTTTTGTTTCTTGTAAATTACACCATTACCCCAGCACGAAAACTAATTTTCCAAGCTAAGCTGCCTGCAGGCACTGTAGGACTGGTTGCTGATATCTTCTGATATGTTGGCAGTATGCCACTATGTGATAACAAATGGACTAGAATTGCTTTTAATTGTGCTAGTGCGATGCACGCTTTGTGGCCTGACTTAATCTCCTCACTCTCCCAGGCTCTGGTATTTCATATGGGAAGCACAGCCATTCAGACGTATGCAACAAGCAAGGGAGCACTTTTTACTTTCCTCTTCATTTCTTTATGAATGTGCGAAGGAACCAATCTCCAGTACTTTTTGAAAGGACTGGTGCTGTGCAAAAAAGAAAGCATCTCTGAAGAAAAGAAAGCCCTGTAAATGTAGCTTAGAAATTAGCTGTGGCATTTACTGGTAGCTTGGGCAATTCAAAGAGTCCATCAGCAGCTGAGGAAACAGCAAAACAGACTTTTGTGATGGAAAGGAAGACAATGAAAAGGAGCTGGTAATCAGTTCTTTATTACAGTTGTTCCATTGGTGAAAACTCCTGATCCTCCTTTCACTATCTATGCTGACTCTTTGTGTTCAGTCAAGAGATATTTGGGACAGGAGAGGATAATCATACCTGGAGATGAGGGTGGAGGTACTCTGTATCTGTGAGTCATCAGGAAGCTCAGGAAGATGAGTTTTCCTGCCTCATTAACCCGTAATCTCTCCCTTTCCTCATATTGAAGTCATTTATACCATTGCAGTAAGGCCTAGGAAGATGCATGAGAGAGCGCCGAATCCAAGAGAGCATTTGCTACTAATTTTGAGGCTGGTGGGTGTCCGTATATCATTCCTTTCTCTTCCCTTACCACTGATCTCCAGGGTTATGGGGTTGTTTTTGTTGAGATTCTTTCCTTCTCTCGTGCCTGACAGCTCCATTTCAGAGGCTGGGAGTGACTGGATAGCCTGAAGTGCTCTTGATGTTTTCCGCTCTGCTACCCAATGGTCACTGTGGGAGAAATAATTCTCAGTTCCTCCCCAACATCATCTCTTAGCACCCTGGTGTGGCAGCACATCTGATTCAGTCTTTGGGGTGGAAGGAAAAGTAAAGTGACCATGCAAGTGAAGTATTGTGAGCACCAAGCATTCCAAAATCAGGATTCAGGTCCAAGCAATATTAAAACTGACTTAAAGATTTAGGGGTTTTTTTAATGGAAAAAAAATTAGGTGCTTTTTTTATTTACCTCCTGCTTTTTCTGTTTCACATTTCCAGGCTCTCTTATTTTCTGAAGCTTGTGGAGGCTAGTGCCATTCAAGATGAAACTCCAGCTGTAGGAGCTGGGGACGCTGGTACATGAGATGCAAAGGCTGACTGGAGTATGGTAATTACCACACTCCAGCAGACTCGATGGAGTCTATTCCGACAAGCTGTAATTACAGCATGTTCGAGCAGCTTCCTGGCTTGTGTATAGGCACCCATGGGTTCTATACAGCTGTCCCTTGGGGAGGACTATTCCCAGAGGATTCCCATACCTTTCCACAGCTCTGGGGCTTCACAGAATCCCTTAGTCTGGCAGGCACTGTACCATGAGGATAGTTGGAGAAGCGCTGAAGACTCAGAGGAGAGGGGAGCCGGGTGTCCAAGGGGAGTGGTCGCTCCTTAAGGAGACGATCCTCCAAGCCCAGAGGAAGGTAATCTCCAGGAGGGTCAAAGGGGGCAGGAGAGCATATAAGCCTCCATGGCTCACTAAAAACATCCGGGAATGTCTCCTTGCCAAAAAGGAGGCTTACTCCCA